TTTAATTTGCATTAGCACTTACATGCATAGTAGTCCAAGTTGTTGACCTCATGACTTTAAAAAGTAACTCTAAAAAAGTAAAATGGTCCTTCTTGGTGCTTCCCTATTTTATTCAGCTGTTTGTTTCACTCTTTGAATTACCTCAAAATTTTTGTCCATGTCTCCTTCAATTATTGTTTAAAATCATTCTTTTGAATTCTTTAATATTTTTCCTTAACCATGCACATTGGAAACCATTATGGGGAAACTAATTTTCAGAGGAAACCATGTTGCATTGGTTTTCATGTTCTTAGTCTGTTTTAAAAACTAGTACACTACAACACTCACTTAAAAAATAAACCTCCCTTCCACTCTAGTCACTTTAGTAGGTAATGGAGCATTGAAGTACTGTGTGCAGTGCTGAGGGTATAAGTGGAGTGGAAAAAAGAAAATCAGAGTAAGACTGTGGAGTGTGGTTTGGAGAGATGGCTCAGTGGTTCAAACACTTACTTGAAAGTGAAAGATCTCAGTTTGGATCCCCTGGAACCTACACAAAGCCAGATACAGAAGTGAGACTTACTTGACACCTGGGGTTGTTCCCTAATTCCACACAGGTGATATGGTATTCATGTGCACACACTAACATACTACCACATATACACTATAATAAACGCAATTAAATATACATCTTTTAAAAAGACTGTGGAAGGGTTGGAGATTTAACTCAGTGGTAGAGTGCTTGCCTAGCAAGCACAAGAAAAAAAAAGACTGTAGAATGGTAATTCCCTTAGTCGGGGTTTCTATTACTGTGAAGAGACACCATGACCATGGCAACACTTATAAAGGAAAATATTTAATTGAAGTGATGGCTTACAGTTCAGAATTTCAATCCATTATTATCATGGCAGGGAGCATGGCAGCATGCAGGTAGACATGGTGCTGGCTACATTTTTATCAGAAGGCACCAGGAAATGGTCTGAGACACTGAGTAATAATACCCTGAGCATAGGAAACCACAGCGACATACTTCCTCCAACAAGGCCATACCCACTCCAGCAAAGCCACACTTCCTAATAGTGCAACTACTTAGAGCCTATGGGGGCCAATTACATTCAAACTACCACAGCAATATAGAGAAAATATATGATGCAAAAATAAATACGCGGCCAAAAGAGAGAGAGAGAGAAACTGAGTACAGCAGGAACAAGCTGCTCTTCTAAATTGATGTTTATTAATGCAGCCATGGTGCCACACACCTTAAATCTTAACACTTGGGAGGCAGAGGCAGACAGATTTCTGAGTCCTAGTCCAGCCTGGTATATATAATAACTTTCAATTCAGCTAGAGCTACACAGACAGACTTTGTTTCAAAAACATTTTTTATTAAATTAACAAATTATTGAGTTCATGTGAATAAACTAGATAGGTAGTTTATAGATAGGTCTGGGTAGGCATGTGGAATCTAAATGTGATATCTTGCCTGGGTGCCAGTTTTTTCTAAGCATTCCTTCCAGGGCTCAGAGATGCCAGTCACACCTCTGTATAGATTTTCAGAGGTTGGTGTACAGATGCTGTTCACAACTTTGGGCTCTGTTCCCCTTGTCTGGTTCAAATGATGGCCACATCTTTAGGCATTCCTTCACGGCTTGGCTTTTCAGTGCTGTATATGTCTCTGGGCAGCTTTTTTCCCCACTGATTTATGAATATTTGTCCCATTAGTGGGAAGTCCTTTGTGATTGAATGGTAAATGATTGTCACACCCCAAAGAAGTCTTTGTCAATTCTATTTGTTCTGTGCTACTAATCTGGAGATAGACACTGAGAAATGGAGGCCGCTGCTGTGCACAATGGCTGGTGGCAAGGGTTTGGCAGAAACAACCACGTAGTGTTCACCTACGTGAACCACCGACATGGGTGCTGGGAACTGAACTCAGGTCCTCTGCCAGAGCACTGAGCACTCTTATCCACAGAGCCATCTCTCTATCCTCAAATGTAGAAACAGTTTGTTAAATGTCTTTATTAATATATCTCATTTTTTGACAATATATAAATTGACATTTCATATAATATAAAATATATAAAAATGGATATTATATAAGATATGATATATGACAAATATAAAATATATGAAGTATATTATTTTATATTATATATATATAATTTATTTATATATATAATGCATTCTTTGGTGATTAGTTTTTTTTATCTATTTGAAACAAGCTGGAGTCATCTAGAGAGAGGGAACATGACTTGAAAAGATGTCACCTTCAAATTTGTCTGTAGGCCATTTTCTTGATTAATGATTGATGCGAGATGGCTCAGTCCACAGTGGGTGGCATGAATTCGGTGTTATATCTGAAAGCAAGAGGAGCTTATGGAAAGAACTCTTAGCCAACAGTTAAGTAGTTCATCTCAAACCATCATGATCAGAATAACATACACTTATAGAGAGGAGGAATCCAGGAAATAGTCAATGACCTATTCTCTTAACCACTTTATTTATTCTATTCCTCTTTTATGGTTCTTAGGAATGGTTGAGACCACCAGCTCATCACCAAACATGTCAGACCCCAAAACAGGTGAGTAAGGAGAACAGGTGCAGAGCGGGCTGCAGATAGTCAAGCCTTGTCTATCTAGTGGGGGTAAGTACCCTGTGTGGAACATGGAGTCTGGGCTGTAGTGTGACCTCTGTGTCTAAAATCACCCAGGCTCACATCTCCAAGATCACACAGTGGAGAATCTTACCAGGATCACATTGGGTGGCTTGGTCCTGTTGGTTCTTGGAATTCTTCTATTTGATGCTCAGCACAGCCAGAGAAAGACACCAGATGCAGCCAGGATGTGAAGAGCAGAGGCAGCAGTACCCATCTCAGAGTGGTGGAAAAACGACTACTGTACGTAGTGAATTCTACAAGCTGATGTGACTCTGGAGTTAAATCTTGGCACAGACTGGGTCAACTCTGAGTTTGGATCTCCAGGGGAGTGACATGATTTGGAAGCACAGAGATGTCAGGATAGTTTTTGAAGATAATTATTCTTCCATTAAACTCTGATACTTTCCCACAAATGCTGTTATTTTCTCTGACTGGTCCCTTCTTTTCTCACCCCTTTGCCTCCCTAAAGTACTCATTTTCTATTGTTTTTCCATGTAACTTAACAATTTGGGTTAATAACTGCATTCCTTCATGAATGATGCATATGCTTTATTTCTTTAACTCAAACTCCAATTTTAATGAAAAAAATGAAATAATTTGGCAACATCAGTCTCAAGGTGAAATAGCTAAATCCAGAGTGACACACTAAGACATTTCTTTCTCACCAACACCCCTAGCAACACTGAGGAATTGTGGGAGAGGGAGGGGCTCTAGCTTTAGGGAGGGGAGAAAATGAGCCCCCCCCCCATTTTCAGCTCTTCTCAATGTGGCCTTTAAAACTGACACTAGAAATCCACACAGTTTGGGTTTGAATAATGGAGTGAGATGAATCAATAACAGTAGTAGTTCGTGGCTGTAATCTCAGTGCTCAAAATGCTGAGGCAGAAGGATTGTTGTGAGTTCAATGCAAGCCTAGTATACATTGTGAGACTGTCACAAACAAAACAGACAGGAGGAAATCCCTCGTTTGCTGGACAGGGCGTGTGGAGCATCACTGAAGGTCGTTGTTTGAAGGTGAGTTGCTTCAACCGTTCTTAGAGCGTTCACTTTCACGAATTATATCAAAACCTTGGGGTTTGGCTCTCTCCTACATCCGGGGCGCACTTTCCCATTTAGTCAGTTCTGAATGTCAGAGCAAGGCACTTCCACAGAAATTCAGTAACTGATCTTATTTGGGCTGAAAATTCAGGTCACCATGAACCTATTTTGTCAACCATATCCTCCAGGAAATAACAAGGTGAAGATTGGTGGGGCTTTGCAATCCAGTTTCCATGGTTACTAGGATGTAAACTCTGGCCAGAGGACCATGACTTGGAAAGTGTGAAGGTTCATCTGCTCTAAATTGGAAGCTTAGCTCTGATACTTTTCTCAACAGTTCCTCACACACTTCTTGGGGAAATTATAATCCCCACAATAAACTAAGATCTTGATTTGAGAGATGTGAAAAGTGTAGGTGATTAAAAAAAAAAAGCACACTTACAGTTAACCACAATGAAAATTTACAGAAACCACTGTTTTTAAGAAAAAGAAACCAGGCTGTATGCATGGGGAGGAGACAATCTTCTCCAAGAATTTAATCTATTGTTTTGAAGTTTGCATGAGTTTTAACAGCAACATACCAGCATGACAGGATCATGGTAACACTGATGTCTGGTGTTGATTTAAGGCATCAGATATTGTTTATATTCATACGGAAACTGAGACTTTCTCTCCACAGAATATCATTTCAGGCACAGATCTGCCTCCTCATAGTTTGGCCTATCAACACCATCACATGAACTTCAGAGGTAGCTGAGGCTTGGAAAAGATGAGATTTCTATTCAACAACTTGACTGAAACATAGATGTTAGATCCATTCACAAAACTTCTCTTTGCAGAGCAAATTATACCCTTTTACAAGTTGTTTTTCTTTTTCATTAAATGGATGTGTTTGTTGACAACATCATACATGCATATACTTCTTTCTGATTATTTTTATCCCATCCTCTTGTATTTCCCTCCTATTCATAGCAACTCTTATCTCATCCTTAAAAGTCCTAATTCTTTATCTGTGTTTCTTTTGTTTTGTAATTTGCCACCCATTTTAACCAAACTGTCCCTCTGAACCTGTGTTTAGAACTATAGGAACCTGGCAGGTTCACTGATGTGTATGCAACTTAAGACAATGAGTCTCCTTGATCCAGAATTCATCACGAGTCAATAGCTCATGATCAGAGATCCATGAGTCCTTACCTGACCCATAATAGATTGTTGATAGGGCCAGTATTTTATTCATCCAGTGCAGGCTACATAGTTCACATTTGCAATGGCTGTGTTATACCTGGAAGTCATTACTTGGTGGCCATTCTCCCAATCTTCTGGTTCTTAGAGTCTTTCTTTTTCCACTTCCACGATGTACATATGTAGCAATATCCACCACAAATCTACACATCCATGTCATCACTTATCAGGTCAGTTATCCCACTGATAACCTCTATGTTTTGCTTTGTCTTGTCTTCATATGAGTCCTCCAAATAGAAAGCAAATTTAATCTTTTTGCTTTGAATTCATAGAGTTTGTCAAAACTCTGATACATTTACTATATGGCTCATAGAGATAAAAAATATTCATTGTTTTGAGGGGTTAGTTCTTATGATTATTTTTTAAATATGTTTTTAATTAAAATAGAATTATATCACTATTCACCTCCCTCTAGCCCCTCCCAGATACCATTCCTCCAACCTCTACCATGTCCCCCACTCTCAAGTTGATGAACTCTTTTTATTATTGTTACATATGTACACATCCATCTGTGCTATATGAATATGCATGTGCACAAATATATAAACAAAATCTACTGAGTCAGTCTGATTTTGTTTTTTGTATATATATGGTTTAAGAGTCTTAATCCTGCCTCAAAAAAGCCTCTCTTTACAACCAATGGTGATCATCACAGAAATTAACAAGTGGACACAATTCAGTGATCAACAGATCATGGAAGTCCAGCCCCAACAGATACATCTATATCACAGCTCTGGCATCTGTGGCCCAGGGAACACCACAGAAAGATTATGAGAGCCAGGAAGTCTTCGGTGAAACAGTTTCTCCTAGAACTGTCTAGAGAAATGGTTTATTTCTACACTTGAAATAAATATAATCTAAAAATGCAGTACCAATGAATGCATTCACATGGAAGGGGAAAATTTTCATGGTGTCCACTGCTTAGGCAGAGAACTACAGGAAGAAAGTGACCATTATAAGGAGAATTAGCCTCTCTCAGTCATGAGCCTCCTTGTTGGCATGAGCACTCCAATATAGAGTGCTTAGTCCTGTAATTCCTCAGACATTACCATTCTATAAGTTAGTCATCGTCTTACAATTTCAAGAAAAGGCGTTCACTCTGAACTCACTCAGTTGTGTAACCATTGAAATATTATGTTTTCTTGGTTTATTTCTGGTTTTAAAACAGTGGACAAATTAACAGATAAATGTAGTTCTCACCCCCCATCAAGGAAGCTTCACTTTGCAGGAGCCGGAGACCATTAAAGAAATCTACAGCTGGTCACGTTGCAGGGAAAACTGATGGGTTCTGCTCAGTCTCAACCGATGCATCTGCGGCACCGCTTCTGCACCTAAGGTTCTGGGGACACTGACGAAGTGGAGACAGGAAGACTGTAAGTGCCTTAAGAACCAGGCATGGCCTCTGCTCTGGGAGACTGTGTCTCCTAGGAATGACAGAGAAGCTACAGCCATGATGCCCCAACCATATGGCTGCCTAAACAAGAGCTGAGCATGGGCAGCACCAGTAGGTATGTTAATGGGTAAGGAGGAAATATCACAGGGCACCTCCCCTAGACAAAGAACAACAGGCAACTAAGCAATACTAAGAGAGAGAATCAGTTTTTCCCTGGGATGGCCTTCAGTTTATCACCAAATGGTGAGCCCTGAAATCATGTTCAAACAAGCAACACTAAGTGGACTCAGTAGGCTGTGTTTATATATTTGTGTGCGTGCATGCATGTGTGTGTGTGTATGTGTCTGTGTGTGTGTGTGTGTGTGTGTGTGTGTGTGTGTGTGTGTGTATAAAGAAAAAGAGGCCATCAATTTGAGAGGGAGATGGGAGTCATTGGAGGAAGGAAAGTGGATGGGGACAGTATAATTATATTTAACTTTTGAAAAGTTTCTATTCTGTAGGGAGTATTCTAATTAGATAAAATAGTTCACATATAAACTAAAATTTGCAATTAAATAATATTATGCAAATAAAATATGTGGTCTTATAGAATTGTAAAATAAAAAAAGGAAAGGAAAAGAAACTCTTCCTAATCTTAGATGAAACATGGCTAAACAGAAGTTTATGTGTTTGAGATGTGCAATTTGGTGATTTTATACACCTCTACCTTATGGATCCACTGTCATAATCATTCTAACTAACATGTCCATCAACACAGTTTTCCCTTCTTCTGTTCATTTATTTCTTGTAGGAAAAGTATTTAACACACATCCTCTCTCCAGTGGATTTTGCATTTGTGATGTACAGAGGGGAAGGGTGCGGCCTGCAGGGGACACAGTGCTGCCACTGTGGTGAAGAATGGAATTGCAAAGCCTGCATTCCACAATTCCTATAGTTCACAGACCTCCCAGTGCAGACATTGGAGGGTCTTTGGGCTCCGGTTAGAGGTGAGGTGAACTGTGAGTCTCATGTGACAGCATCACCTAGCCCCTACACCTACTTTTTTAGACTGAATAAAAGTTGTGCGGTCAGCAATAGCTGGGACTTTCGATGTGTGATCTGGGACTGTGGTGACTACATCCTGGGATCACACCCTGCTCATTTGCCAGTTTTCTTCAGCTCTTGCAAGACATCCTAGAAAAACAACAACAACAACAACAAAACAAAAACAAACAAACAGAAAACCACAAAAACAACTGCTCAGAACAAGTCCTCCCTGAGCACTTGGTCCCCCCAGCACAGATATGTCTGAACAGTCAATCCGACTTCACTTCTCCCATTAAAAATGTCTAAGAGTTGTCACCCTCATCTCTGAGTCCTGCAGTGGAATCCTCAATTCAGAAGTTCTGTATTCTCAGCAAGGCTGTTCTAGCTGATGATGCCCACAACCTCTTGCTGTGTGCAGCACACAGTGAACCCTTGGAACTGTAGTCACAGCTATTATGACTGTGATTCATAATTCCTGATGAGTCTGTATCCTGAAGGCCAAGAGTAGATCCTGGGAGAGGTATATGTGTTCCTGTGATGATTAAACTTGACTGTTGGGAGAATACCTGCAGAGCTGCAGCTGATTTGACTTCAGAGTGTCAGCACCCAGCCTTAATCGGACTTTTGTGATTCCTACCTTTTTTTCCTGGGTACCCTCAATGTGAATCTTCTCTGAGAGTCTTCTGAAGGTGCAAAGCCTATGTAAATTTGGTTCAAGAAGAACTCAGAACACAGCAGGTATTCTTCAGTCGAGAATTAGCATTTGGCATTGTCCCTTGGGGAAGCTTGGATGACAGGTGTTGGAATATAAAGATTAACTTGCTAAAAGAGGGTCAACTGGAGAAC